CTCAGTATTTATTTACATCTTTTTTTGTCTTTATTCTGACAATCTATAATTGAAATAGTGTGTTGAAATGTTAGGTTTTTTTTTATTTTATTTTATTTTATTTTATTTTATTGACAGGCAGAGTGGACAGTGAGAGAGAGAGACAGAGAGAAAGGTCTTCCGATGGCAGGAGCCAGGTACTTCTCCTGGTCTCCCATGGGGTGCAGGGCCCAAGGACTTGGGCCATCCTCCACTGCACTCCCTGGCCATAGCAGAGAGCTGGCCTGGAAGAGGGGCAACCAGGACAGAATCCGGCGCCCCAACCTACCGGGACTAGAACCCGGTGTGCCAGCGCCGCAAGGCGGAGGATTAGCCTAGTGAGCCGCGGCACCGGCCGAAATGTTAGTTTTTAAAATCTGTTTCAGATTGATGTTCATCTGAAACACTGATTTTGTTCAAATTCCATTTTATTTCTCCTTCTCCTCTGTGAATTGTTTCTTTAATATGTAAAGTATTAACCCATTTTTTTCTATCTTTAAATAGTTTTACTAGGATACAGCCTCATCTTTTTTATTTCTTGGAGTTTTTTCAGGGTTGAAGTTTTAAATTATGAGATCTAATCCATTTCATTCCTTCTTTAACAACTCCAATTGTATTTATGTTGGATCTTCTTTGGCCATCTATTTCAATCTTTCTGACCTTTTTTTTTCCTTTTTATTGTTTTTTAAATATTTATTTATTTGAAAGTCAGAGTTACACAGAAAGAGGAGAGGCAGAGAGAGAGAGGTCTTCCATCTGATGGTCAATCCCTAATTGGCTACAATGGCCGGAGCTGTGCCGATCCAAAGCCAGAAGCCAGGAGCTTCTTACGGGTCTCCCACACGGGTGCAGGGGCCCAAGGACTTGGGCCATCTTCTACTGCTTTCCCAGGCCATAACAGAGAGCTGGATCGGAAGTGGAGCAGCCAGGTCATTTACCCACTGTGCTACAGCACCAGCCCCCTTTTTTTATTTTATAATTTGTATGTATCTCACAAATACAACATTATGAACATAGTAATTCTTCCCACCATACCTGCCCTCCCACCCATGCTCCCCACCTTCCTGCTCCCTCTCCTGTTTTAGCCAAGAAAGAAAAAGAATGAGGAATTAAAAAAAAAAAAAAAAAAAAGAGAACTGTTCCTCAACAGTCTTTACAGGGCTGTTCTATGTTACTGCTTCTCGAAGGTGATTTTTCTTTTCCTCCCTCCTTCCTCCCCGTTCTTTCCTTTTAGAAATTTAATTGTCTTTAAAGACCTCAAGGATGATACATCTTTTGTGAAGTCTTAGACATAATTATAACCTATGAGACATAGTAATATCCTTCATTTAATACACTAAAAGGAAATGATTCTTGAGAACAAGTTTTACTAGTAAGTTTCATGGTACAACTCTTTAGGGACAGAGATCCTGCATGGGAAGTTAGTGCACTGTGACCTCTTATTGTTTATTTAACAAATAACACTCTTATGTATGACATCAGTGATCACCCAAGGCTCTTGACATGATCTGCGTGGCTGTGGAAGCCTTTTGGATCCACTGGCTTGACAGGGTCATAAGCAGAGTAGAAGTTCTCTCCTCCCTTCAGAGAAAAGTACACCCTTCTTTGATGGCCCCTTCTTTCCACTAGGGTCTCACCCACAGGAGTCCTTTATATAGGACATTTTTTGCTGGAATGTCTTGGCTTTCCATGCCTGAAATGCTCCCCATGGGCTTTCCAGCCAGACTGGAGTGCCTTAAGGGCTGGTTCTGAGGTCAGAGTGTGACTTGAAGTGTCATTCTATGAGTCTGCTGTATGGATTGCTTCCTATGTTGGAACCTTCATGCTTTTTTAATTCTGTCTATTATTGTTTCCATACATGTAGTCCTGTTTATATGATCACTTTATCACTTGATCCTAACTATATGGTAACTTTACCCCTTATTCCTATCCATTTGGTCTTTATAACACTTAAGCTGCTATTTTTATCAGCCAGTTTAAGGGATTTTGGCTGACCCTTTTTTTTAAAACATTTTTTAATTTCATTTTTCTTTTTTTTTTTTAACTTATTTAATGAATATAAATTTCCAAAGTACAGCTTATGGAGTACAATGGCTCCCCCCCCCCCCATAACTTCCCTCCCACCCTCAACCCTCCCCTTTCCTGCCACCTCTCCCCTTCCATTTACATCAAGATTCATTTTCAATTCTCTTTATATACAGATCAATTTAGCGTATATTAAGTAAAGATTTCAGCAGTTTGCACCCACATAGAAACACAAAGTGAAAAATACTGTTGGAGTACTAGTTATAGCATTAAATCACAATGTACAGCACGTTAAGGACAGAGATCCTACATGAGGAGTAAGTGCACAGTGACTCCTGTTGTTGACTTAACAAATTGACACTCTTGTTTATGGCATCAGTAATCACCCGAGGCTCTTGTCATGAGTTGCCAAGGCTATGGAAGCCTTTTGAGTTCACCGACTCTGATCATATTTAGACAAGGTCGTAGTCAAATTGGAAGTTCTCTCCTCCCTTCAGAGAAAGGTACCTCCTTCTTTGATGACCTGTTCTTTCCACTGGGATCTCACTCGCGGAGATCTTTCATTTAGTGTTGTGTTGTTTTTTTTTTGGTTTTTGTTTTGTTTTGTTTTTTTGTTTTTTTGTTTTTTTGTTTTTTTTGCCAGAGTGTCTTGGCTTTCCATGCCTGAAATACTCTCATGGGCTTTTCAGCCGGATCCGAATGCTTTAAGGGCTGATTCTGAGGCCAGAGTGCTGTTTAGGACATCTGCCGTTCTATGAGTCTGCTGTGTATCTCGCTTCCCATGTTGGATCGTTCTCTCCCTTTTTTTATTCTATCAGTTAGTATTTGAAGACACTAGTCTTGTTTATGTGATCCCTTTGGCTCTTAGTCCTATCATTATGATCAATTGTGAACAGAAATTGAACACTGGGACTAGTGAGATGGCATTGGTACATGCCACCTTGATGGGATTGACTTGGAATCCCCTGGTATGTTTCTAACTCTACCGTTTGGGGCAAGTCAGCTTGAGCATGTCCCGAATTGCACATCTCTTCCCTCTCTTATTCCCGCTCTTATATTTAACAGCAATCATTTTTCAGTTAAGTTTCAACACTTAAGAATAACTGTGTATTGATTACAGTATTCAACCAAAAGTATTAAGTAGAACAAACAAAAAAATTACTAAGAGGGATAACGTATTAAGTTGTTCATCAACAGTCAGGGCAAGGGCTGATCAAGTTACCTTTTTAATTTCATTTTTCTTCAGATGTATTCTTTGGGAACCTAGTTATTTAGTCATAAATATTACTTTATTTCTAGCATGAAATTTTTGTCGTTTTGTTCTGTTTCTTCAGCTCAATTTTTGCATTCATTTCCATTCTTAGTTTTTAAATTCCTTATTCATTGTGTGGTCTCTCCTCCCCAGTCGCCAATATTTCCAAATTTTTGTTGAGAATATTTAATTTAGATTGTTGTGTTACAGTTTTCTACTTCAAAGTTACTTCCAAAGATAGGGATTTTTTATGAGCTAAAGAGCTCTGGTTCTCATCTCTTTGTCCTTTTCATATAGTATCTTTGTATGAGTGGGAACTGCTCTGCATTTCTTGGACAAGACTGGCATTTAGAATAGTTTATGAGAATCCTACTTCAGGAATATTCTGTTCTGTCACAGTAGCAAAGTATGGTGTCTTTAATGGATGATTCAGAATGAGACAGTAGTTTCAGGATGAGTTGTGTCTTTAAAATTTTTACTTCTTTTGTCCTACAGGATCCTAAATTTTGTCCTTTTCCCCTCACTGCTCAGCTTCCAAAGGGTACCTCTCCTTCTCAGCCATTCTTTTTCCCAAAAATAATGCTTTCCCAAGACTGCCACCTAGAGTAACCTTTCTCTATCCAGAGGTGGTTTTATTTCATTTAAGAGCCCCTGCTTCCACCTTATTTTGTTCCTATAGTTTTTGTTTTTCCTCAACTCAGTGTTGAGCTCTGCAAATGCTTGGATTGGCTGCTCAAGAAATAGTTCTGCTGTGCATTGGTGGGTGTTTTAAACCTTTGAATAATTTGAGGAAGATGATGTTCTCTGTTTTCTAGTAACGCTGACCATGGATTTGGGGAAACTTACTTCTTGTTGATCTGCATCATTTTTAGAGGATGTATTGGCAGATTTGTTTTATGTGGTCACCATTACCTCAGCTACTAGAAAGCTTACCTAGTTACATTTTAATCACTTTTACATAGCGCTATGTAATGCTATGCTTTATCAAATTGAGAGGAGTGTTTTAGTATTTTCCACTTTGACTTTTTTTCATGTGATTTTACTAAACTGTTTATTATTAAAATCTTGTGGCAGAGTGGTGCAAATATTTTACCACTTTATACACCAAAACCAGCTGCAACAAATGCCGTTAGTTTATTTCTGATCTTTGGAATAAAGGGAGAAGACCATTATTCAACAAGTATTTATTACCATGTTTTCTGTACCATGTTTAAAAATACTTTCCTTTTCTCATTATGTTGCTTTTGCAATTAACCCTGTTAACTTTGGGGAGCTTGAGTGATGCTTTTCTTAGAAATATTGATGGGATTTGAAAGCATGCTAAATTTTGAGGAATAATAAAATGTATATGTAAAGTATAACATTGTCAGAAGCTAACTAATTTTTTACAAAATTGTCTTAGATATTATAGATTAAAATTAATTTTCAAGTGGCTGAGGCCTCAATAAAACAAATTCTTTTTTTTTTTTTTTTTTGGTAGACTAAGTGCAGTGCTCAGCTAAAATGGTTTTTAACTAAATGCGTCAGCTGCATTTACTATAATTGTTGCTCTTAAGTGGCTGTTTTTCATCTTGTTATTTTAGTTTCAATGTCTAGATTACTAATGTGTAAGGATTTCACTTTCTAATGGACAGTGGTGAAAATGTTGGCAGTTCTTTAGCCATGTACATTTTGGCTTCATATCTTGATTATTTTTTTATTATAGATGCTGTTACAAGAAAAAGCAGAGGCATTGCAGGAAGAAGTAGAAGAGTTACTGAGGTTGCCTCCTGATTTCCCTGGCACCATGGCTGCCTCCATTGAAAAGGCATGAAGCTATCTGATGATTTCAAAAATGAATTATTTATTCTCCATATATTTTATTAAAGATTCTCTATACTTATAAAAGAAAAATATTTTTTAATTATACATCATATCTGTGCTTAGTGTTTGAATAATTGAAATAACTTTTTCAGGAATAATTCATCTTTGATACTTATATACTGTCTCTCTGATCAGAAATCTATAGTGTCTACTACAGAATGAAACCCAGTTTTCTTAATGTGACTCCAGCCTGCATTTTTTTTATAGATTTATTTATTTATTTGAAAGGCAGAGTTACAGAGAGGCAGAGGCAGAAAGAGAGAGGTTGGTAGGTCTTCCATCCGCTGATTTACTCCCCAATTGGCCAAAACAGCCGGAGCTGCGCTGATCTGAAGCCAGGAGCCAGGAGCTTCTTCCATTCTCCGACTTGGGTACAGGGGCCCAAGAACTTGGGCCATTTTCCACTGCTTTCCCAGGCCATAGCAGAGAGCTGGATCAGAAGTGGAGCAGCCAGGACTCAAAGCAGCGCCCATATGGGATGCTGGCACTGCAAGCGGCGGCCTTACCGGCTATGCCACAGCACTGGCCCCCAAAAATATGTCTTTGTCAATGTGATGATAAGTTACTGGAAGCTGTCAGAGAACCAGCTATAACAATGCTTTTGTATCCAGGGTGGGTGCTACTTCTTATACTGGGATGGAATTCAAAGCTATGTGGAGAACTTGTTTAGGAATGTTCTCACCTATGGAAGCGTCAAGCCTTGGGGAGGGGGGTGGCTAACATCACCTTTCCCTGAAAAACCAGCGTAGAGATTTGTTGAGACTGTGGCCAGAACCGAAAAGGCTTACTGTATTGACTAGAAATTGGGAGTTCTTTGAAAAGTCTTTTTTGAGTGGTGTTTGCCTGAGCTTACAGTACAAGGAAAAAGCAAAGTTGGACATCTGGAAGATCTTACTGAAGCTGGGCATCCTAGAGATGGGCAAGCGAGCTCAGAGCTTGGACAAAAATGAAAAATGGAAAGCCTGATACCACATTGGAATTGCGGACATTTTAACGTTCTGAAGCCCGATATGAAGGTGCTACAGGTACCTTCCTTCTCTGATGCTTTATGTGATCGGACAGTATCACAAATGCCACATTTGAACCTTGACTTTACCTAAAATTCAATTTAATGGAAGAAGGCTGGCAGGAATTCAGCTTGGGGCCAGCGCCGTGGCTTAATAAGCTAATCCTCCGCCTGCGGCGCCAGCACACCGGGTTCTAGTCCCGGTCAGAGCGCCGGATTCTGTCCCGGTTGCCCCACTTCCAGGCAAGCTCTCTGCTGTGGCCCGGGAAGGCAGTGGAGGATGGCCCAAGTGCTTGGGCACTGCACCCCACGGGAGACCAGGAGAAGCACCTGGCTCCAGGCTTTGGATCAGCGCAGGGCGCTGGCCGCAGCTCGCTAGCCGCGCAGCCATTGGCGAATGAACCAACATCAAAAGGAAGACCTTTCTCTCTGTCTCTCTCTCTCACTATCCACTCTGCCTGTCAAAAAAAAAGAAATTCAGCTTGGTATTTTTCTAAATGGAATCTGTTCCAATTGCATTCACTGAGTTATCAATCTTTTCCACTGGGACTTGAGTATCACCAGTACCAGCTACCCTCTCCTCTGCCTAGCACCTCTCCTGTCTTCTGAAAAAAACACAACCAATTTTATTCCCTGTCCCCAAGGGTGAGAAATGGACACAGGCTGGACCCATCAGAACCCTTCTCAGTGATGTTTCTAACTGCAGTTGGTAGCTGAGTGCTATTTTGCTTTGATCTTGAAGCTAACAGGAAGTCAGTCTTGAGTCGCCTACCAAAGAGGAGGCGGCAGATACTGGGGGAGGGAAGAGTCACTAGTTCTCGCTGCTCTATGGCAGTTTGGTTGCTGCTCAGGCTTTGAGAATGTGGCCACTAAATATTCTCTTGTTTAAGCTCTATATACTTGGGTTTCTATTACGCAGAACTGAAAAAACATGTTTATTAAAGTTCTTAAATGTCTTTGGTTCTGTACTCCGTTCCTGCTGACCTATTTTTCTGTTCTTTTCTAATCTTACACTGTTTCAGTTTCTTTACATTTTAATATCTTATGGCTAATCTTCCATCCTTACACTTGATACGGACTCAGGTTGACCTAGAGAAACAATGATGGAGATATGTATTTGTGCGCATGTGTGTATCATTCTGGATACTGGCATTTTAGTTCCTATCAAGGTACCCTTCTGCTCCCCTCCCACCTCTAGTCTTAATACATTAATCTGGGGGCCAACGCTGTGGCGCAGCAGGTTAAAGCCCTGGTCTGCAGCGCTGGTATCCTATATGGGCACCAGTTCAAGTTCTGGCAGCTCCACTTCCGATCCAGCTCTCTGCTATGGCCTGGGAAAGCTGTAGAAGATGGCCCAAGTCCTTGGGGCCCCTGCACCTGTGTGACAGACCTGAAGGAAGCTCCTAACTCCTGGCTTCAGATTGGCGCAGCTCTGGCCATTGTGGCCATCTGGGGCGTGAACTAGTGGATGGAAGACCTCTCTCTCCCTCTCTCTGCCTCTGCCTCTCTGTGACTCTGCCTTTCAAATTAATAATAAATCTTAAAAAAATACATTAATCTGGGATGATCAATTGCTCTCTTAGTTAGCAAAAATCAGCCTGCCTTACTTGGACAAATCAATAAAACGGGTTTTAAGCTGTTAAAAAAGCAGACTGGACTATGGCCTACTTTGAGCACAACTCAGGCTGGCTAAAGGTGCCAGCAGGCGAGCCAGCTGCTCTCTCACGATTGCTTTAGCTGCAACAAATGGACCACATGCAGTGAACCCCAAGATTCCACCGAGTCACTAGGGTGCCAGACTCTGACTTGGATAAAGTGTGTCAGGATAGCATGGGTAACTGGATGTAATGCTAGGGGAAAAAATCAAGGCCAAGTGAAGGGAACATCTAGGGAGGAATAATATGGGCAAATCTGCTGAGAATAGTATATAATAGCTAAGTACGTGGCCTTTAAACTGGGACTTTGTGGGTATGAATCTCTGTTTTGCAAGTAACTAGTAGAAGTGGGCTTGGGCAAGTTACTTTAACTTTTCTGTGTCTCCGTTTATTCATCTATAAAATGGGAATGATAGTAGTACCTGTCTCCTAGGGTTGTTTTATTGAATTATTCACATAAAGCACTTACACCAGTGCCTGGCACACAGAAAGTAATGTGTAACTGATTGCAATATACTAACGGTCTAAAATGTTGAAGCACTGCAGCCTGGAGTTGTGGCACAGATGGATAAGCTACCATTTAGGATGTCTGCATTGCATATCAGCTGACTACTCCACTTCTGATCCAACTCCCTACTGATGTGTTTGGGAAGCAGCAGACATTAGCTCAAGTACTTGAGTCCCTGCCACCCAAGTAGGAGACCCCAGTGGCTCCTGGCTTTGGCATCGCCTGGAAGTGGCTACTGTGGGCATTTGGAGTGAACCAGCAGATAGATCTGTTTCTCCCTCTTTCGCTCTGTCATTTCTTTCAACCAAGTAAGTAAGTAAAACTTAAATAAATAGATGTTAAGACACAAACTGTGGATCTATTTGCCAAGCTTCCAATGGAAGTCATTTAGACAACTAAATAGAATTTAAACCAAACCAGTTCAGTACTCACAAATCCTGTTGGCTATCAGTTTTTTTCTTATACTAGGGTCATCTACATTTGAGTTGCAATTTTCAAATTGTTGTTTAGGGTAGGATTCACTCTTCACAGATGTTTCTACTTGATGTAGCAAACTGTGGTAGATGTTGTGTGGCAAACAAAGATGATTTAAGGGGCCAGCACTGTGGCATAGTAGGTAAAACCATTGCCTGCAGTGCCAGCAGCCCAAATGGGCGCCGGATCGAATCCTGAATGCTCCACTTCCAATCCAGCTCTCTGCTATAGCCTGGAAAAGCAGTAAGAGATGGTCCAAGTCCTTGGGCCCCTGCACCCGCATGGGAGACCCAGAAAAAGCTCCTAGGCCGGCGCCGTGGCTCACTAGGCTAATCCTCCACCTAGCGGCGCCGGCACACCGGGTTCTAGTCCCGGTCGGGGCGCCGGATTCTGTCCCGGTTGCCCCTCTTCTAGGCCAGCTCTCTGCTGTGGCCAGGGAGTACAGTGGAGGATGGCCCAAGTGCTTGGGCCCTGCACCCCATGGGAGACCAGGAAAAGCACCTGGCTCCTGGCTCCTGCCATCGGATCAGCACGGTGCACCAGCCGCAGCGCGCCGGCCGCAGCGGCCATTGGAGGGTGAACCAACGGCAAAGGAAGACCTTTCTCTCTGTCTCTCTCTCTCACTGTCCACTCTGCCTGTCAAAAAATAAAAAAATAAAAATAAAAAATAAAAATAAAAAATAAAAAAAAAAAGAAGCTCCTGGGTTCAGACCAGCACAACTCTGGCTGATGCACCCATCTGGGGAATGAACCAATGGATAGAAGACCTATTTCTCTGCCTCTGCCTCTCTGTAACTCTGCCTTTCAAATAAATAAATTTTAAAAACAAGATGATTTAAAAGGTCTGTTCTCTCTAGATTACAAATTAGTAACAGAAAAAATGACTTGAGTATATATGAGGAGTCCACAATGGTTATAAGGCATAGTGGGTACTCTGTGTGGGGTGGGGGTGAAGATGAACCTGCAATCCATTCAGAGAAGAGGTAGTATTTGAGCATTTGAAGTTGATACATGAAGTATATGGTACAATTTCACGCACTAGGAAAAACAAAGCACTTAGGAAATGGGGGGTTTGGAAAAAGCAAGGAAAGTTCCGGGGATTTCAAATAGCCCAGTTTGATGAAAGAAATGGGTAAGAGAATGATGAAGGGTATGGAGGGGCTGGTGCTGTGGTGTAGCAGGTAAAGCCACTGCCCCAAAGTTTTCTTAAATGTACTACACTGGAAAGGTCAGAATAGCTATGTAATGCCCCATTGTAACTCCTCCATTTTCCACCAGGTGTCACTAATGCTGCAGTGTTCAAATCAAGGTGGATCTCTTCAGATTTTAAGATTGTAGTATTCTGTGTATTTACTTAGAAGTTACACAGGGATTTCTGGGTCATAAATATTAGCACATCAGAACAGG